ATCTTTTCACGTTTGCTGGCCATTTGGATTTTACTGTCTATTATCCATTCTTTTTTTTTTTTTTTTTGAGACAGGATCTTGCTCTGTTGCCGGAGCTAGAGTTCAGTGGCAAGATCATAGCTCATTGCAACCTCTAATTCCTGGGCCTGGGTAATTTTATTTTTTGTAGAGACACTATGTTGCCCAGGCTGATCTTGAACTCCTGACCTGAACCAATCCTCTCTCCTTGGTCTCCCAAAGTGCTGACATTACAGGCATAAGCCACCAAGCCTGGCCTGCTCTGTTTTCAATTGAGCCTTTAATTCCTCTAGAAATATTTCTATATATGTTATGAGATAGAGTACAACTTTAATTTCTTCTAAATACATTAATGATCCTTATCTCACTGAATTAAAATGCTGCCTTCGTGAAATAGTAAATTCTCCTCTGTTTTGGGATATATTTCTAGGCTCTCCATTTTAGCCCTCTGATCATTTTGTCTATTTCTAGGCAAATTCCACACAACTTTGTTTTCACAGGATTTAGGGGATAATTTAATCTGGAAGGCAAATCCCCCTCTTAATTCTTCATAATTTTCCTGGTTAGTCTTCAAATTTATTCTTCCATATGCACTTTAGTCTAATGCATCCTTTAAAAGATGCAACTATTGGAAGTCAACTTAGAAATTATATCAATTGTATACATATTTTATGTATATTTGGGAAGAATTTAGTTTTTACTGTATTAAGTAATCCTATCCAAGACTGTGAACATCTTTTTATTTTTTGGACTTGTTTTGTGTCCTCTAATATGATTTTATACTTTATAGCTTATTAAACCTTATTTTATAATACACTAAATATTTTATAGTCTTTGTTGCTGCTATGAATGAACTATTCTCTTGTTTCCATTTCAAGTTGGTTAGTATTACTATTGAGGAAAGCTATTCAGTTTTACATACTTGTCTTGTATTTTGTAACTTTAACAAATACCCATATTAATCCTAGTAGTGTTTTCTGTGTAGACAAGCATATCATCATCAAAAAAAGATCAATATATTTTCTTCATCAGTATATGTACTAATTACATTTCTTTTTGTTTTGTAAGAATTACCAAAACAATGTATTTATTTGTCTTCTTGGGCTGTTATGACAAAATACCATAGACTGAGTGGCTTAAACAACAGCATTTATTTTCTCAGTTTTGGAAGCTCTAAGTCCCAGATCAAGGTGCCAGCTGATTTGGTTGTTGGTAAGGGCCCTCTTCCTGGCTTGTAGATGGCCAGTTTCTCACAGGGTCCTCACATGTCAGAGAGATAGAGAGAGGAGAAGGAGAAACAGAGCAAACACCCTGATGTTTCTTCCTTTAAGGGCACCAGTTCTACCATACCAGGTCTGCACCCTATGGCCTCATTTAACCTTCACCACCTCCTTAAAGGTTGTTATGGTCTGAATGTTTGTGTCCCCCAAAAAATTCATATGTTGAAGCCCTAACTCCAAATTTAATGGTATTTGGAGATGGGGCCTTTGGGAGGTAATTAGAATTACATGTCATGAGGGTGGAGCCCTCAGGATGGGATTAATGTCCTTATAAGAAGACACCAAATAGAAAGAAATTAATTGACCAACTAAAAATATATAGAAAAAATTAGCCAGGCATGGTGGTGCATGCCTGTAGTCCCAGCTACTTGGGGGGCTGAGGCAGGAGGATTGCTCGAGCCCAGGAGTTTGAGGGCACTCTAGCCTTGGCAACAGAGTGAGACTCTGTCTCAAAAAAAAAAAAAAAAAGATGACACCAGATCTTCCACTCCACCCCCTGCCACATGAGCACACACTGAGAAGGCCGCTGTCCATGCTGGCACTCTGATCTCAAACTTCCAGCCTCCATAACTGTAAGAAAATAAATTCCTGTTGTTTAAGCCACTCCACCTGTGGTATTAATATTTTGTTATGGCAGCCCAAACTGACTAAGACAAAGCCCCTATCTCCAATACAATCATATGGGGGGTTAGAGCCTCAAATATGAATTCTGGGGAAACGTAATTCTGTCCATAGCAAATGTTGAGCAAAAATAGGGTAAGTTGGTGTCCTGATCCTATTATTCCTAATATTAAAGGAAATGGCGTTAGCACTTTACACATGATACTTGCTCTTGTTTTTTTTTTTTTTGATTAATGGTTTTTAACATATTTAAGTCATTTTCATCTATTCCATTTCCTTTGAAATTTTACTCGGAATGGCTCTACATTTATTTATATGTTATTTACCATATATCGATTTAACTGCTTTTTCCCTTTCAATTTGTCAAGCTAATGAATTACAATGGTATGTAGCCATGCTTGCATTCCTGAAATAAACCATATTTGGTCATGGCATATTATTCTTTTGACATACTACTTGATTCTACTTGCTAATGACTTAATTATAATTTGTTCTTCAGTATCATACACAGAGATCTGGGTCTATAGATTCTTTGAGCTCTCTTTATCATTTTGGAGTGTTAAGCTTAGTCTGGCTTCATAAAATGAATTGAGGTTTTAATCTTTTTTCTGTGGCCTGGAATATTGTTAATAACTTTCAAATTGGGCGACTTCTGTGGCCCCCTCTCTTGGGGCCCCAGAACCTCGTCCAGGAGTGTATGATAAAGCCACATGGTTTGGCCCCCACTCTCTCTCTCTCTCTCTCTGTCTGTCTTTTCTTTTCACCACCGCCAAAAAACCTTACAGCTGTGAGCTAGGCTGATGCCATAGCACTCTAGCCCGGGCAACAGAGTGAGACTCTGTCTCAAAAAAAGTTGAAAAAAAAGAAAAAAGGAAAAAAGAGATAATAAGATACTCATGTGATTTTTTTTAAAGATAATAAGATACTCATGTGAATTTTTTTTTTTGAGACAGAGTCTTGCTTTGTTGTCCAGGCTACAGTGAGTGCCGTGGAGTCAGCCTAGCTCACAGCAACCTCAAACTCCTGGGCTCAAGCAATCCTACTGCCTCAGCCTCCTGAGTAGCTGGGACTACAGGCATGTGCCACCATGCCCGGCTAATTTTTTTTTATATATATCAGTTGGCCAATTAATTTCTTTCTATTTATAGTAGAGATGGGATCTCGCTCTTGCTCAGGCTGGTTTTGAACTCCTGACCTCGAGCAATCCACCCACCTTGGCCTCCCAGAGAGCTAGGATTACAGGCATGAGCCACCATGCCCGGCCTGAATTTTTTTTTAAGTTGTAAAAGTAAATTGAGATAACTTTAAAAAATGTAAGAAGATCCTTTTGTAGTTCATAAGCATGATGACTGGATTTTCATGCTCATGTATGAGACATGCCTCCCTAAACCTTCTTACCATGTCTACATGTTATCCATCTGACATGAAAAAAATATATTTCCTAAAGTGAAAACAAGTTTCAATACATTTTATTGTATGGGATGTTTATAGATACTATCAAATTCACTAACTGAAAAGAATATGTATAGATTAAATTGAGGCCGGGTGCCATGGCTCACGCCCGTAATCCTAGCACTCTGGGAGGCCGAGGCGGGTGGATTGCTCGAGGTCAGGAGTTCAAAACCAGCCTGAGCAAGGGTGGAGAACCCGTCTCTACTATAAATAGAAAGAAATTAATAAAATGATAAAAAAAATAACTTTCAAATTATTTGATCTCTAAAGGTTGGTGAGAGCTCAGCTGTGAAGCCACCTGAAGCTTTTCTTAATGGTAGCTTTTCAATCACCTCTTTGATCTTTTCCTTTGGCAATAGTCAATTCAAGCTTTCCAATTTGTTTGGCTCAGTTATAGTATTTTGCTAGGAATGTGTCTGTTCCATCCATGTTTTCTTAGCTTTTCTGTTCCTGCACTGACAGGAAGAAGGCAGTTTCCACTGGTGCCCCTGGACATGAGTGGGTCAGGGGCATCCCGATGTCAGTCTGGGTAGTAAGGACCGGACCCCTGTGGAGGCAGGGAGGAGTGGAAAGAAGCGGTGAAGCTTCTAAGCTTCCCCTCTAAAGCCTGGGAAGCCTTTTGTATCCTTATCTACGAGGAGATAAGGCCCACCCCTCCCTCAGGGGTCCCGTGTGTGAGTACATACGTAGTGTCCATCCCACCTGGAGGCCTGAAGACCCTGCGTGCTTCTGAAGAGGGCCATAGCTTTGCGCTCAAAGGCAGAGTCCAGGATGGCTTCTCCTTGCTCTGAGCAACACCTCAGTGCCTCCAGGAGAGATATAGGAGACCCCGCCTCTCAGCCCCTTGTGGGGGCTGTGGGGTTGAGGTAGGGGCTGGGAGAACCCTGCAGGGGATAGGGGGACGCTGGAAGGGGGTGAGGACTGGGAGGTTTGGGGGGCTGGAGGGGGGTGGGTAGGACACTGGAGGATGCTGGTGGGGCTGGGAGGATGCTGGAGGGGGCTGGGGGTGCTGGCCAGACTGGAGGGCTGGGAGGATGCTGGAGGGGCCTGGGGAGCTGGATCAGTTTGCAGGTTAACTTTTTGTTTCCACCATGGACGAGGTGTTGAGGAGGAAAGGAGATGCCTCACAGCCTCACAATAAAATCCATTAAGGCTCTTTGTGTCCATCCTATCACCTTCTCCCAGTCTTGGGGTATCTTCTTCAGGCTAGAAGTCATGTTTCTTCACTATGGTGAACCATGTCCCAACCTGTTAGACCCACTTTCATTCAGGAAGAAGCTTGCTATACCCAAAGAATGAAGTAAGAATTCCTTCCTTCCTTTCTTCCTTCCTTCCTTCCTCCCTCCCTCCTTCCTTCCTTTCTTTTTTTCCGCAGACAGAGTCTCACTTTGTTGCTCAGCTGAGTGCCGTGGCATGAGCCTAGCTCACAGCAACCTCCAACTCCTGGGCTAAAGAGATTCTCCTGCCTCAGTCTCCCTAGTAGCTGGTATTACCGGCACCCGGCACTGCGCCCAGCTAATTTTTTCTATTTTTAGTAGAAACGGGGTCTCACTCGTGCTCAGGTTGGTCTAAAACTCCTGACCTCAAGCGATCCTCCCGCTTCAGCCTCCCAGAGGGCTAGGATTACAGGCGTGAGCCACCCGCCTAGCAAGAATTCTTTCTTGATTAATCTCATCCTTTTCTTCCAGGATGATTTACATTCTGGGAGCCCAACGGGGCCACATTTCACAACACATGAGTAAAAAGCATCGGTAAAAAACATTCAGTGAGCAAAGAGGGTCCATTTCCTTATGAGCCTCAACAGCCGCATGCACAGGCGCCAGTTCCCCTCTGCCCTACCGACTACCTCATTGTTTTTTCCTACGGAAGGCGCCAATTTCCCAGATTCTCATGGGTCCCGGACACCACCCATCTCAAAGTCTCCACTCCTAAAGATGTCCTAGGTCATACTCGGACCCGAAAAGACCACTGGGCTAGAAAAGAAGGGAGGTAAGAGCGTGGGTATCCAATCTCTCTCCATTTGCTCCTATTCCCCGCGAACCAGTGAAGGGGTTAGGGGAAGAGAATAACCACCGAGACCTCGGTCTTTCCTGCTTCCTAGAGCGGCCGGGCAAGCCTCACTTCCGGCATGTGTCCAGCGGATCGGTCTGTGCAGCTTGGTCGGGCGGTGAGTCTGACGGACTAGCAGCTCCTGGCACCGGCTTTCCTGTGGACGCCGCGAGCCTACGCTAGTGAAGGCCCACGAGCGACGCGGGAGAGGCAAGATCGCGGAGCGGGCCTGTTGAGGGACATGATGACATTGTGCTCCGGGGAAGGGCCAGTGGCGCTAGGAGGGCGTCTACGAAGGGTGTGAGTGTGTGTGTGTGGGGGGCGCAGACGGCGTCACGGGGCGGGGCCTACGGAATGTGTGGGACGTGGTCACGGGACCCGGAAGTGGAAGTTGTGTGGACTTGGTCACGGGCTTGGGGGCTGTGGGGATCACGGGGTCACAAGGGGTGTGGTTATGGGGCGTGGTCTCCGGGAAGTTGGGGCGGGGTCACGGGGCGTGGCCTCTGGAGGGGTGGGGATGGGGAGACAGGGCGGGGTCTACGAAGGCCTAGGGTAGGGTCACCAGGTGGGTCTGTGAGTGCGTGGGGGCCTGGCTATGGCGCAGGATGTATGAAAGGTGAGGGGCATGGTTGCATGGTCACAGGGCTGGGTCTGTCAGGCTGTCAGCAGTGGATGATGGTTAGCGAAGGTCCAGGGACAGGCCAGACCCCCACCGCTGGCTTCATCTTCGGCCCTGCCTTTCCCCCACTTTCACCTACAGAAGTCTCAGTGGTGCCAGTCACTTTGGAGTCTTTCTGGGACCGCCTCCCAACACTAAGTGAACAAGAGGTGAAAGAAAATCATTCGTTCGTTCATTCATTCATTCATTCTACCTAGGGGTCCTCCTCCCTCAGCCTCTCATCTCACATCCAGTCCCCTACGGGTGATGCCTTCACCCAAGATCTCTGGGAGTCGCCCTGCTCTCTCTACCCGACGCCAATTCTGGGTCCGAGAGCTGGGGTGGTGGGGCCAGGGAGAGGTGCTAAGAGGGAAATGGAGGCAGAGCTGGGCAGGACCCTGCTCTCAGCATCAGTGGCCTCACTTGTGCCACGCGACAATGATGACAGGAGGCGCCTCTGAGTTGTAGACATGGAGCGTTGCGATGGGCCCTTTAGTCTCTCTGTCCTCTCCTCACTCCAAACTCCTCTCTACAGGCAGCCAAGGCTGTCTTTTCTGTTGCTCCCAGCTTTTAATTTTGAGAATGTTTAAACCTACAGAAAATTGAAAGAATAGTATTTAATACAACAAACACTATACACCCTCACCTGCATTTTGCAATTGTTGACATTTCCACACTGGCTATTATCTTTGCATATTTTACTTTTTGTTGCAGAAAGAGTAACTTGAAAATACAGTTGACCCTTAAACAACGTGAGGCTTAGGAGGACCAACCCACAGCTGAAAATCTGCATATAACTTTTGGCTCTCCAAAACTAAACTATTAATACTAGTATCTACTGTTGACTGGAAGCCTGACCAATAACATAAACAGTCGATTACCACCTGTTTTTATATGTATTATATACTGTATTTTTACAATAAAGTAAGCTAGAGAAAAGAAAATATTATTAAGATAATCATAAGGAAGAGAAAAAATATTTTTACTATTCATAAGTAGATCATCATAAAGGTTTTCATCCTCATCATCTTCATGTTGAGTAGGCTGAGGAGGAGGAGGAGAGGAGGGTTGGTCTGGCTGTCTCAGGGGTGGCAGAGGTGGAAGAAAATCCACATACCAGTGGACCCACGCGGCTTAAACCTGTATTGTTCAAGGGTCAACTGTAATTTGTAGACATCATAACACCCCCTTAAGTACCTCAGCTATTTCCTAAAAGTGAGGACATTCTCTTACATGATTGCAATACCATGCCACACCTGAGCAACTTAACAGTTCCGTGGTCAGATAGCTCATATATCTTCAATTATCTCTAAAATGTGTTTTATAGCTGTTTTTTTCCCTAATTCATTTGCTAATCAAGACCCCAACTTGCATTTAGTTGTGTCCCTTTAGGCCCTTTTGATTTGGAACAGTCTCCCTGCTTTTTGATTCTCTTTATGACACTGACTTGTGACCACATGTGGCGATCTGTCTCTGGTATGCCCCACTTCTGGATGTGATCTGGAGCCCTTCATACATGAGGGGTGGAAATGTGGTCTCTACTCTCCATTAGGCAGAGGTGGTTGAGGTGATGACCAGCCAACTGTGGCCATTGTAAAGGCATATTTTTCTCCTTTGCAAATAGGAGCCATTGATTAAAGACCAGGGCGATCTTTGCAAAGCTGTAATGTAACTGTCACTTCCCATACTCTTAGAATGAAGAGCAATCGTTAACACGGCCCAGGGCCTGGCCAAGCTGGTGGCTGGCCTCCATACAGGGCTTTCCTCCTGCTCCCATAGCCCCTGGGCCTCCCTAAGGGCTTTTCTTCCTATAAGCTTTCCACTTGGTTATTTCTCATTCACACTCCAGGTATCAGCCTAACCTTCACCTCCTGACCTGCTCACCTCCCTCCCCATCCAGGTCCAGTCTCCTCTCATTGGGTCCTGCTACTCCATCTGTCTCTCACAGTTGAAATTTACATTTATTTGTGTGTTGATTTCATTGATGTCTTTCTCCCCCACTGGACTGTGCCTTCCATTCATGGTGGAGGGTTTGGAGGGGCAGGTGGGGAGCAAGAATCCTATCCCCAAGTGAGTGGTCCTGCTATAAGATGCTGAGAAGGGGACCCTGGGTAGGCTTGGAAGCCAGCTCCAGTCGTCCAAGGGGCAACGGGACACAGTGTCTGGAGCTAGCCAGCCAGACACTGGCTCCAGATAGCAATCCTGAGACAAGCCCAAACATGGTGATTACAGGCTGGAGGCACAGCCCAGAGGGTGAAGAGGCCCTGTCCTGAGGGGGTCACGCAGGCGTGACTGAGGTGCAGAAGAGGGCCATCCGTAGGTGAGTGGCCAATGTCAGGCTGAGTGGCCCACCTGCCCTGCCCTTGCCTGTACCCCGCCCCAGGCCCCCGTGCACATTCACCCAGCTGCCCACCTGCCCTAGCTGTGCCCCCACTGACCCCTCTTCCCTCCCCTGCTCCCCCCCACCATCTCCCACTCCCCTTGGGGCTCTCTTCTCTCTGTGCCTCCCTCCCTGGTGCTGGGTTCCCTCTCCTTGGCAGTGATGGTCTGGAGCCGAGACCTGAGGTTGGACAGGGGTGGCTGTGAGGGGCTTTGAGGAAGAAGAGGAGACCAGTGACGGACGGGAGGGCTGGGAGGGTAGGGCTAGGGGTAGGGGTTGCTGCAGCGCATGCGCTGCTCTGGAGAAGGTCTGGCCTCCAGGCCTGGCCTCACACTGCAGGGACATTCGCAGTCCTCGTGCCAGGCGGGGAGATGCGCCTCCAAGAGGAGAAGTGACTGGCTGAGGACGCACGATTGTTCTACAAACCCCGACTCAGACACTGTGGGCATCCCTCGCCTGCTCAAGGCACTGATTTTGAGCAGAGAGCAGGCCTGGCCGCTGACCCTGGTGAGGGCGGTGGCAGTGGCGGTGGCCAAGGGCTCAGGAGCAGGTGGGCTGGAGAAGTGCGGTGGCTGGGGGAGGGCAGTGATGTCAGATCCTCAAAATCCAAGCAAGGGCGGCTGCAGTGTCACTCTTCCTTGCATGGGGGCTCCCGTAGTGGCACTGGGCTCAGGAGAGAAGGTGCAGGGGTGGGGAACCTGCAGCCTTGGGGCCACATATGGCCTTCTGGAGTGTGGCCTCCTTGAGTGTGACCTTTTGACTGAATCCAAAGTTTACAGAACAAATCTGGCCTTCCTGCTGACACCCCCATCTTTCCTTCCCTGTAGGAGCCTGTGATGGCAGTCAAGCCCCAGGTGAGCTGGCGTCGGGGAGCAGGTGCTGTCCAGGGCCCCTCTCCTGCAGCCTGGAGCTCTTGCCCAGCAGACCCCTGGTGCTCTAAGAACAGATTCTTCTTACCCTGTTCCCGCCAACCTTGCTGGCTGCCCGCTCTCACCAGCTGAGCAGGTGCAGGACTTTGAGGGAGAGCCCACAGTTTTGAGGGCTCTGCATTTCCATAGTCACCCTTTCCCCAGCCACCCTGTACCCTAGCCCTTTCCCCACACATGTGCCTAGAAAGCTGGGAGATGCACACAGAGCCTTTTGCTAGAACTGCACTCTAAGCTTCAAGGTGCACCTGCCACTCAGGGAGGGGTGAGGCTTCTTGGGCTGTGAGTACCTGTGGTTCCCAGGACACTGTGACTTTTGAGGAGGTGGCTGTGTACTTTACTCGGGAGGAGGGGCAGCACCTGAGCCTGCATCAGAGAGCGCTCTACCATGATGTGATGCTGGAGAACTACCACAACCTGAAGGCTCTGGGTGAGCATACCCTGGTGGGGCCTCAGGCCCCTGCTCCTCACCACAGATCACTGGTCCCCTGGGCTCTCTTGATATCCAATAGGCCAAATATCCCAAGTCCATATGGAGTGCCCTTGTCCCAGCAGGGGGTGCCCAGTGGTCTCATCCTCCATTCCTTTTTCTCTCTGAACCTCCTCTGGAGCCCCCTTCCTCTCTCAGCTTCTGTGGCCCTTGGTGAGGGCAGCTCTGATTGTCCACCACTGACCATTGCCTTCTTGATGAACAGGTTTTCCAGTGTCCAGACCCAGGGTTATCTCCCAGCTAGAGAAGGGGGAGATGCCATGGGTTGTGGCCCTTCCAGAGCTTCCCCATTCAGGTGAGTGATGAGGTAGGTGTCTCTGGGAGGCTGTCGTGTAATGTGTGCAGGGGCTGGAAGGATACTGAGTGGGGGTGTGGCATGGAGTGGTGGGGGACACCTAATTGTCTTTTACTATCTTCATTCCTACTAGCCCCGAATTTTCCCTCTAAGGGGAAGTGTAAGCCCACTGTGATGTGCTGTGTGCCACTACTCAGGTAGAATTCATTTTCTACTGGTGACCAGAGTCTCACCTGATGAACTGATTAGCACTTATATATCAAAGTATAAACAGGGCTGGCTGCAGTGGCGCATGCCTGTAATCCTTGGGAGGCCAAGGCGGGAGGATCACTTCAGGCCAAGAGTTCGAGACCAGCCTGGGCAGCATAGCATGACTCCATCTCAAAAAAAAAAAGAAAGAAGGAAGGAAGGAAAACTTAGCCAGGCATGGTGGCATGCACCTGTAGTCCCAGCTACCTGGGAGGTTGCTGCAGGAGGATCATTGTGAGTCCAGGAATTTGAGACTGCAGTAAGCTGTGATCTTGCCACTGTACTCCAGCCTGGGCGGCAGAGCAAGACTCTGTCTCAAGAAAAATAAGTATAAATAGAATTCTTCATTCTGGTCACACTGGAACACGCCCCCCAGCAGAGGTACCCCTTCCTGCCTTTCAGCCATTTATCTCATGAGCACATATTTTGTGTGGCATTCATCAAGGGTCTGCAGTTAAGAGTAAGCAAAACCAAGTCCATGGAGTTTGCATTTTGGTTTGGGAAGAACATTCTAGTTTGAGGAGGAAATTCTCTATCCTGTCCCATGTCCAACCATATTGTTGGTCACCACATTAGAATGTTGACGCCAGAGGGCAGGGAGACTTCATTCATTACCAAGTCCTGGGCCCCTAGAGCAGTGCCTGGCAGATGGAGCCACCCAGCAAACATTGTTGAAATGAACATTTCTTGAATTGCCAATTCCTACTCTGTGCACACTGCCACCAAGATGCTATAAGAACTACTGTGAGAAAGCCTTTGCCCTCAGAATCTCACAGTACGGAGAGAGATGGACCCATATAACTAACCATGATATAAGATTCATGGAATAAAGTTGTTAACAGAGGAGATATACAAGCTGCACAGAAATTTGCCTTGGCTCAATCATAAAAGTGAATACTTCCTTTCCCCTTTAAAGGGAAACTTCAAATTTCTGTTCTTCTTTTCAGAATCTCAGGTCAAGACAAAGTACAAACTATCAAGTCCCAAGGAAAAATCTTCTGAAGAAGAATTACAAGGACTAACTCAGGAAATTTTCCCAAAAGGTAATCCAGAGACGTTTGAGTTTCAACAAGCTTGTAGGTCTGAGAAAGGAGCAGAACATTCATGGAAAAAATTCACAATAAAGGCTAGGAGGAAGTTCTTTCCCCAAAAAAGAGGTCTGGGGCAACTGGTCAGCTCCCCGCTTAATACCAATACAGAAGAGAAATACCAACAATGTAACAAACTGAAGAAAAGCTTTTCTCTGGGCACAAAGCCTGTTGTACCTCCAAGGGACAGGCCAGGTGAGAAAGCCAGTGGGTTGAGGTTGAGTGACCAAGGCTTTCCATGTCAGGCAGGCCTCAGTGGACCCCAGACAGGTCCCAGTAGGTCGAAGACCCAGGGATGTTATGTGTGTGGGAAGTCTTTCAGCAAGAACTCCCACCTGATTCGACATCAGAAAATTCATAGTAGAGAGAAGCCCTATGTATGTATGGAATGTGGGAAAAAATTTAATCACAACTCACTCCTTTTACAACATGAGAAAGTTCACCGTGGAGAGAAACCCTATGTGTGCAATGAATGTGGCAAGGGCTTTAGGGAGACATCAAAGCTTGCTAAACATCAAAGAATTCACACTGGAGAAAAACCATATAGGTGTAATGAGTGTGGCAAAGCCTTTAGTGGGAATTCAAATCTTACTAAACACCAATTGATACATACTGGAGAGAAGCCCTATAATTGTCATGAGTGTGGAAGAGCCTTTAATCAGAAAGCAAATCTCATTAAACATCAGAGAATTCATACAGGAGAGAAACCTTTTGAATGCAAAGAGTGTGGGAAAAGCTTCAGTCAGCCATCACATTTGATTCACCATCAAAGGATGCATTCTGGAGAGAAGCCCTACAAATGCAATGAGTGTGGAAAAGGCTTCAGTCAAACATCACACCTGGTTGATCATCAAAGAATACACACTGGAGAGAAACCTTATGTGTGCACCGTGTGCAAGAGAGGCTTTATTCAGATGTCACACTTGATTCACCACCACAGAACACATTCTGGAGAGAAGCCCCATGAATGTAGTGAATGTGGGAAATGCTTCAGCCAGAGCTCAACTCTTATTAGACATCAGGTTATCCACACTATGGAGAGTGCATATGAGTTAAATGAACGTGGGCAGGCTTTCAGTGTGAGCTAGCCTTTCAGTCACCATCTCACAAATACTACTGGAGAGGGACTCTTCAATTCATACAGGAGGGGAAAGCATCCAAGAATGCAACAAAAACCTTTCGTTGTGACTCATACAATGTCAGAGAGTTCCTACTAGAGAGGACACCTGTGGATGTAGTCAATGTTGGAAAAGCTCTTAGTGGGGACACACATTATTCACAATGAGATGATTCATATGGGATGTAATGGATATAAAGAAGGCTTTGGGCTGGGAGCGGTGGCTCATGCCTGTAATCCTAGCACTCTCAGAGGCAGAGACCTGTGGATCGTTTCAGCTCAGGAGTTCAAGACCAGTCTGAGCAAAAGCAAGACCCCGTCTCTACTAAAAATAGAAATAAATTATCAGGACAACTAAAAATATATAGAAAAAATTAGCTGGGCATGGTGGCGCATGCCTGGAGTCCCAGCTACTCAGGAGGCCCAGAGCTCTTCCTCAGAACCATGAGGCCCAAGTTGTTAAGTCAGAACATCTGAAGACTTATCTGACTTCTGTCTCCCGCCTCACCAACCAATACCTGAGTCCTACCCCTGCTGCCCGTCAACATCTCCATCATCCTTCCACTTTGTATCTCCTCTGCTCCATCTCACTGCTGCCTTCCTGCCTTGCCTGGACTTTTGCCATGGTCCCGCTGTCCCCGTCCCCTAGCCACCCTGTCCCATCGCCCCAGCCCCTGCACAGAGGGCAGAGTGAGCTTCTAGAAACCAAACCTAATTTTGTTACCACACTGGCCTTCTCACACGCACGTGCGTTTCACACCCTGGCCCTAACACCTGCTGCCTCCCCGAGCCATGTCTCTGGCCCAGGATGAGGCTGAAAGCCTGACTAGGATGACCCTGCACAACCATCAGGGCAGCCACTGTAACCACTTGGCATCTATCTCCCCCTATTCCACTGGGTCTGACAAAGAAAAGCTTCTCCATAAATTCTTGAAGCAAGGGTGGAAAAGAGGAATGACCGCAGGCACTCCCAGTGGCCTCATTCCCCTTGCCTAGCCCCACCAGAGTAGAAGAACTACCCAGTTGGCAGTCATCCACGCATCTTAGGGTGGCCAGAACATGCCCCTACACAGATTCACTTCTGGGGCGCGCTGGTACCCTACAGCTCCAGCCTTCCTTCGGGAAGTGGGAACTGCCTGGGGCTCTGGGGACTAGCCCTGCTGCCTGCCAAGTGTTGCCCTCCCGCACAGCCCCAGGGGCCTGCATCTGCGGCCTGTCCAGAAATGGCAGCGGATGTGATGGTGGCCCCGTGTGGAAGGGCCATGCCAGGAGGCCTGCACTTTCCAGGAAGAGGCCGTCCTCGCCCGCTTAAGAGCCTGAGGGTACTTCAGAATGAATATGTGTGTGTGGGGGTGGGGACACACTTCCTTGCATCTCCAGCCAGAAGCTTTCTACCTCTGCGGCCCCAGGGTAGCCCTCTGACCAAGAGAAGAAGGTGCTGACAAGGAGCTGGGTGCATGAAGATGGCTAAGGGCCTGAAGGAAATAGATGGTAGAGCAGCATCTGCCCACCAAAGAAAGCCTCAGACTGATTTGAGAATCCTGTTTCTCTAGGTGCTATGGTTTGGATATTTGACCCCTCCAAACATGTTGAAACTTGATCCCCAATGTTGGTATTGGGACCTAATGGGAGGTGTTTGGGTCATGTGGGCGGACCCCTCATGAATGACTTGATGCGGTTCTCCCAGTAATGAGTTATTCAGTTCCTGTGAGAGCTGGTTGTTAAGACTGGCATCTCCCTCCCTTTCTCTCTCCCCCACCCATCATTTGATCTCTGCATGTAATACCTCTCCTTCCCCTTCTGCCATGAGTGGAACAGCTTGAGGCCCTCAGCAGATGCAAATGACAGCGCCATGCTGCTTGTACAGCCTGCAGAACTGTGAGACAAATAAACCTCTTTTCGTTATAAATTAGCCAGCCTCAGGTATTCCTTTATAGCAACACAAGCAGACTAAGACACTAGGTTTTACTTTTTTGAGGAAGGGCCAAACTGTTTTCCAAAGTAGCTGCCCCATTTTGACATTTCCATTCTGCATCCATTCATATAAACTGCCATTCAAGAGGGCTCGAATTTCTCCACATCTTTGAAGCATTTGTCATTATCTGTGGTTTTGATCATACCTGCTGGTAGGTAGGATCACTTTGATCCATCCTACTGGTACAAAGTGGTATCTCATTGTCGTTTTGATTGGCATTTCCCTGATGACTAATGATATTGAGCATCATTTCACTTGCTTAATGGTCATATGTATGTCTTCTTTGTAGAAATGTCTATTCAAATTTTTTGCCCATTTTAAAATTGAGTTATTTGAATTGTACGAGTTATTTCTATATTCTGGATACAGATCCCTCAGCACCATGCTGTGGGTTGTCTTTTCACTTTCTTGATGGTATCAACTGTAGCACAGAAGCTCTTAGTTTTGATGTGGTCAATATTTTTATTTTGTCACTTGTAGTTTTGGTGTAGTTTTCAAAGGATCTGCTTTTTTTATTTATCCAGTTTATTATTTCCATTTTTAAAATTTCATTTTCTCTCGTCTATTGTTACTTTTTATTTTTTGTAGAGTCAGGTTCTCATTACGTGGCCCAGACTGGTCTCGAACTCCTGGCTTCAAGCAATCCTGCCTCAGCCTTCCAAAGTGCTGAGACTAGAGGTGTGAGCCACCTTGCATGGCCATCTCATTTATTATTAATTTCTACTTTCTTTAGATTACTCTAATATTCTTCATCTAGCTTAAGTTAAACATTCAACTTTTTTAACATATTAATTTGATTTATAATTGTTATTATATTTTAGAGACTGGGTCTTGCTCTTTCACCCAGGCTGGAATGCAGTGGCATAATCATAGCTCACCTTAACCTTGAACTCCTGGGCTCAAGGGATCCTCCTCCCTCAGTCTCCTAAATATAATAGCTGGGACTACAGGTGTGCACCACCATGCCCGGCTAATTTTTTTAAAAAAATGTTAAGAGACAGGTTCTCATTATGTTGCCTAGGCTGCCTCAAACTCCTGGGCTCAAGTTTTCCTCCTGCCTCAGCCTCCCAAAGTGTTGGGATTACATGCATGAGCCACTTCACCCAGCCTCTTACTTTTAGACCACATAGACTTAGAGAGGATACTTGTTTTTGTTTATTTTAAAGCTTTTTAATTTAAACTATTTTGAAATTTTTATTTTTTTTTAATTGACAATAATTGTATCTATCTTATACATGTTTTCAAATATGTATATACTGTGGAGTGGCTAAGTTGAGCTAGTTAACATAAACATTATCTCACATATCTTTTCTTCTGGTGAGAACATTTAAAATCTACTCTCAGCCAGGCACAGTGGCTCACATCTATAATCCTAGCATCCTGGGAGTCCAAGGAGGGAAGATCACTCAAGGCCAAGAGTTTGAAACCAGCCTGAGCAAGAGCAAGACTTCGTCTCTACTAAAAATAGAAAGAAATTAATTGGCCAACTGAAAATATATAGAAAAAAATTAGCCGGGCATGGTGGCACATGCCTGAACTCCCAGCTACTCAGGAGGCTGAGGCAGGAGGATTGCCTGAGCCCAGGAGTCTGAGGTTGCTGTGAGCTAGGCTGACACCATGACACTATAGCCCCAGCTACAGTAAGACTCTGTCTCAAAAAAAAAAAAAGCTACTATCTTAGCAATTTTGAAGAAAATAATACATTAACTATAGTTACCATGTTGTACAATAGATCTCTTGAACTTATGCCTCCTAAATGAAATTTTGTATCCTTTGACCAAAATCTCCCCAAACTTTTTTTTTTTGAGACAGAGTCAGTCTCCGCTTTGTTGCCCAGGCTAGAGTGAGTGCCGTGACGTCAGCCTAGCTCACAGCAACCTCAAAGTCCTGGGCTCAAGCAATCTTGCTGCCTCAGCCTCCCAAGTAGCTGGGACTACAGGCATGCGCCACCATGCCCAGCTAATTTTGTCTATATATATTAGTTGGCCAATTAATTTCTTTCTATTTATAGTAGAGACGGGGTCTCGTTCTTACTCAGGTTGGTTTCTAACTCCTGACCTTGAGCAATCCGCCCGCCTCGGCCTCCCAGAGTGCTAGGATTACAGGCGTGAGCTACCATGCCTGGCCTCCCCAAACTTTTTATTTTGAAATAATTTCAAACTTAAAAGTTGCAATAATGTAGAGAACTCCCAAATAACCTTAACTCAGACTCACCAATTCTTAACTTTTGCTACATTTATTTTACCATTTCTCTTTCATTTTTTCTTGAACCATTTAGAAGTAGGTTGAATATATGGCTCAAAAGGGTGGTTTTGTCTGTAATTTCCTTCCTATGTTCCATCTCTCCCTGCATTTCTTCCCGTTCTTTTTCTTGGGAGGCAGGATGTGATGGGACATCTTTTCTTTTCTTTCTCTCTTTTTTCTTCCCTTTCTTTCTTTTTCTTTCATTCTTTCTTTCTCTCCTTCTCTCCTTCCTTCCTTCCCTCCCTCCCTCCCTCCTTCCTTCCCTCTTTCTCTTTCTTTTCTTTTCTTTATTTTTTCTCAGATGGAGTCCTCCACTCTATTACACAGGCTGGAGTGCCCTGGGTAACTCTAGGGTAGTTGGAACCTGCGCCCCTGTTAAAAGCTGAAGTCCCAAAGGACTGTAGCCCTTGTTTAATGGCAGACTAGGAAAAACCCCACCAGCTGCACAAAGAGATGCTCAATAGTGTCCAAAAATTTAAGAGATGGAGCTGGGGGTCCTAGGAAGCCAAGGGAGCACAAGAAAACTGAAGCACAAAACTGAAGTAAATATCCTCAAACAAGCACATGGAAATATTAAAAGCATCTAGAATCAGATCTTTCAAAACTAAGAAAAACATCCCATCCCAACCCAAGTATGCTGGTGCATGCCTGTAGTCCCAACTACTCGGGAGACTGAGGTAGGAGGATTACTTGAACTCAGGAGTTCAAGGCTGCAGTGAGCTATGATTGTGACACTACACTCTGGCCCGGGAGATAGGGCCAGATACCATCCCAATAAAAAAAAGAAAAGAAAGTAAAATAAAATGAGTGGATATGATGTGGGGATATGATGTTGTGCTGTGGGATATAAGAATAGGAGAGTTATTCTCTTTCTGAAGCATACGCTAAGTGGGGCAAGTATTTTTATCCTCTCTTTAGAGATGGAGAAAAAGAGACCCAGGAAGATCTGATGCTTTCCCTGAGGTCAGAGTGAATCCATATCAGAGGTGGGCAGCACCTTCTTCATGAACCTGTGCTCTCCACTCCCTCTTCTGTGCACATGTAGATCCTTCCACATGGACCTCATAGGGATGGCCTTTCCCACACTCAGAAGGGGTTCTCGGCCGGGCGCGGTGGCTCACGCCTGTAATCCTAGCTCTCTGGGAGGCCGAGCCGGGCGGATCGTTTGAGTTCAGGAGTTCGAAACCAACCTGAGCAAGAGCGAGACCCCGTCTCTACTATAAATAGAAAGAAATTAATTGGCCAACTAATATATACAGGAAAAAATTAGCCGGGCATGGTGGCGCATGCCTGTAGTCCCAGCTACTCGGGAAGCTGAGGCAGTAGGATTGCTTGAGCCCAGGAGTTTGAGGTTGCTGTGAGCTAGGCTGATGCCACAGCACTCACTCTAGCCTGAGCAACAAAGCGAGACTCTGAAAAAAAAAAAAAAGAAGGGGTTCTGTGCCTAAGAATTTCAATAATGTAGCAGGGATGATAGAACATGAATGGGGGAATAAGTGCAGCAAGCCACAGGATGAAGGTCAGACCAGACGCAAAAGCAACCCCAAATTCTCTAAGGAAACATAATGAAGATAGAAGGAGAGATTGACTAAGAAAAGCTCCTTAAAGGGGCTAATATTGGGCCTAGAGGGAATGAAAAGTGGATTGGAAAGAAGATTCTTCCAGGTGGAGTCTCCGAATTGAAAATCAGGATTTCAGAGGTGATACTATCAGCCCTTAGAGATGAACTACTCCAGTGTTTTTCAAACTTCCCAGTGAAATCGTTTAAATAGATGCATATGGATCAAACCACAGTTAATGGGGAATACAAAATAAAACCACGGATCCCACTACATCCCACTGAAATGGCTAGAAGAAAAAACCTGACAATACCAGATCTGGTGAGGATTCAAAGCAACTAAATTCTCATACACTGTCAGTGAAAACTTTGGAAAACAGTTTCTTAACAAGTTAAACATAAGCTGGCCATGTGACCCACCAATACCACTCCTTGCTATTTTCCCAAGGGAACTGAAAAGTCAGGTTCACAAACAGCATGTAGTTAGAGGTTATAGCTGCTTTATTCATAGTTGTCCCTCACTGAAAACACCCAAATATCATTTAATGGGTGAATGGATAAACAAACTGCTCTATCCATACAATGGAATGCTGCTAAGCAATAACAAGGAATGAACTGTTGATATACACAACAACATAGAGGAGTCTCCAATGCATTATGTTAAGTGCAAGAAGACAGATTCTAAAGCCTACACACAGTATGATTCTGGAAATGGTGAGGTTATAGGACAGAAAACCAGTGGTTTCCAGGGACTCGGGGTGAGGAAGGGCTGATCACAGGCATGCACAAAGGAATTCTGGGTTGTAACAGGAATACTCTCTCTTGATTGAAGTGGTTGCTATACAACCCACAGAACTATACACTAAAAAGAGTGAACTTATTGTATACAAATCATACTACAATAAACCTAGCTTAAAAAAAAAACTTTATTAGTAATTACGTTTTCAAAAGTGGAGCTACTTGGCAGCCCCCTCCTTTACTGGCTCCTGATGTCCCTCCTCTGATGAAATGGACAATTCCTTAAAAACTAAAAAACAAAACAACTTTCATTTTACAAATGCAAAAACTGGGGCTCCAAGTGAGGAGGGAACTCCACCTGCAGTTACTATGTAGCTTTGTGGGGGAGATGGGCCAGACATCTGATGGAATAAGGTTTGAGTCTGCCTGACTGGCCAAAGTTCTCTGTGCTACACCTGGAGGCAGGTGTGCAGGACTGAAACTGGAAATACTCACATAGAAGCCCAGGCTTAGATAGGAAAAGAAGAGATAAGACTGGAGGGAAATCATGTAGGGTAGATTCAGAATCAGGTGGGCTGACTTTTCATGCCCTCCATTCATATTTGAATGTAGCATCACATGGCTCACCTCTTGAGAACAACCACAACCTTAACACAGATAGCCTTATTTTCCAGAATGAATTCTCTCGTTTACTTTCAAACATAATGACTTTAATAGTCATATGAAATGTTTATTTTGGTTTGCCTGTAATATTTAGACCTCACTTAACTTTTATTATGCCATCCTATCCAAAATAAGATGAACAATTGCTAAATTGTTTCCCACATTTATCATATGAAAAATGTGATTCTTAGAAAATCTTTTTGATATGAATAAAGTATTTTTCAGATCCATCATTTAAAGGAGGCCTCTCTTCAACATGAGTTCGCTGATTTGGTGTGAGTTGCAAACTCTGGATGAAGGCTTTCCTACACACAGGGGGATGATAAGGTTTCTCAACAGTATGAGTGACCTGATGTTGAATAAGGGTAGAACCCCCACCAAAGGCTTTTCCACATTCTTGATATTTGTAGGGTTTTTGCTCAGCATGGATTTTCTGATCTTCAATGGGTTGTGAGGTGGGACTGAAAGTTTTTCCACATTCTTTACATCCAAAAGATTTCTCACCAGTGTGAATTATCCAGTGCAGAACAAAGTTTGCACCATGTTTGAAGTCTCTGCCACATTTCTCTCTAGGGAGAATCTGTCCATCTGGTATAAGGCCAGAGCCATGAACAAAAGCTGGACCACATTTTCTGCATTTACGAGGGTTCTTTCCATTGTGAATTCTCTCATGCTGAGTAAGGGTTGACCTCCGGCTAAAGGCCTTTCCACAATCACCACATTTGTAGGGTTTCTCTCCAGTGTGAACTCGCTGGTGTAGGGTGAGCTGAGAGCTCTGGCTAAAGGCCTTCCCACATTCAACACACTTATAAGGCTTCTCCCCAGTGTGAACTCTTCGATGCTGAACAAGAGTAGAACTCCGACTAAAGGCTTTGCCACAGTCATTACAAACATAGGGTTTCTCTCCAGTGTGAATCCTTACATGTTCCGTGAGGTGAGAGTTGAAACCAAAGGCTCTGCCACATTCATTACATACATAGGGTTTCTCTCCAGTATGAACCCTATGATGGAGAAAAAGGCTTGAGCTTTGACTGAAGGCTTTCCCACATTGATTGCATTTATGGGGCTTCTCTCCAGTGTGAATTCTCTGATGCTGAATAAGGCTTGAACTCCGACTAAAGGCCTTCCCACATTGATTGCATTCATGGGGCCTCTCTCCAGTGTGAATTCTCTGATGCTGAGTTAACTGGGGACTCTGGGTGAAGGCTTTCCCACATTCATTACATTTATAAGGTTTCTCTCCTGTGTGAATTATACGATGTTGAATAAGAGTTGAGCTTCTACTGAAGGCCTTCCCACATTCACTACACCCAAAAGGTTTCTCTCCAGTGTGAATTCTCTGATGGAGAAGGAGGTGGGAATTGAGCCCAAAAGTCTTCCCACATTCATCACATTTGAATGGTTTATTTCCAGTGTGAACTCGATGGTGCAGAATAAGGCTTGAGCTGTGAGTAAAGGCTCGGCCACACTGGCCACATTCATAAGGCTTTTCCCCTGTGTGACTTCTTTGATGCCTATTTAGGTCTGAATTATATTTGAAGGTTTTGTTGCATATATCACATTTAAAGACTCTCTCTCCTGTTTTATTTCTTTGAAGTCTAACAACACTTTGGTTCAGATTCAAATTTCTATCAAATGCACTACACTTCTGGTTTTCTTCTCCTGGAGAGCTTTCCTTATCCACAGCAGTTTCTTTTATAAAAACTCTTTTGTAAAGATGAAGTTTCTTCAAATTCTGCCCAACAGCATTTGCCAGGTGCTCTTCTAGTTTATGCTCCTGGTCCCAAGCTTCCTGAAAATCAGATGCCTGTGGATTACCCCTTAAGAATCTTCTTGATATAAATTCTGGAGTTTTTACTTCTTCAGAACATTTCTGGTTTAGAATGGATAGTTTCTTCTCAGTCCCAATTTCAGAATCTGTTACACAAAAACATAAATGAATTACTAGAGAAAATCATCCATGAGGGATTATATCCATAATGTGTTAAAAGCTCCTATAAATCATTATGCAAATGGTAGATACTCCAGTAGAAAAATATGTGACAGGTAGAATCCAGAACTAAAGATGGCCAATCAACAGAATAAAAATATTCGAGTCTATTGGTTACCAAAGAAATGGAAATTAAAACAAATTATAAGTTTTCACCTATAAAATTGGCAAATTCATTCATTCAACAAATATTTAGAAGGCCAGCATGTTCTAGGTAAGGAATATAACAGGCAGACAAATACTGTGTCTGATTTCATGAAGCTTATGTTCCATTCAGGTAGATCTATAAGCAAATACATTTTTAAGAAGAATAATAAACCATATGACATGGAAACTATTTAGAAATATGTAGAAATGCATCATGGCCTCCAACCTAGTCTACATGATCAGAGAATATTCCAGGAGGAAATGAGGTTCAAGCTGAAGCCTAACAAGGACAAGTTAGCCAGGGCAGGCAAAATAATCACATTCAAGAACTAAAGAGCCTCATGATGGCTCAAGCAAGAAGTGTGAGGGGGACAGTGGGGCAGCAGGAGCCAGGGGACAGACATGGAAGGCACTGCAAAAAAGTGGAGGTTTGGAGTTTATGCTAAAAACTTTAAAAAAAATAATAATACTCAGCACTGAAGAGAACTGAAGAAACAAACACCTCCACATACTGTTGGTGGAACTATAAATAAATATGACTTTTAAAAGGGAAAGATGAGGGGTAGAAAACTAAAAATAAAAAAATAAAAGGGAAAGTTGGCAATATGTACCAAAAGAATTGATACATTACACACCCTTTGTCTCTAAAATTATTCTTCTAGAAATTTACCCTAAGTGGATAGTCAAATGTACAAAGAAATGACGACTATGAGCAGATGAAGAGCTCTTTATAATTTGTGGGGAAACAATAAAGAACACAATTGTCCAAAAATAGGAGGTAGTTTAAACCAATTATAGAATACTCACATAATGGAATACCATTCTGCCATTATAATTATATGACAGAAGGATATATATTAATTAAATTAAAAGTCTATGGTATATTATAAAGTGAAAAATCAGGTTTTAAAATTATATGTACAGCATAAACCAACTTCTATTGCAAATATAAGTAAGATAGCTGCTATTTCTTCATTAAATGAATGTTTGGTACAAGTTGGTAAAGCCATCTGGGCTTGGCATTTTCTTTAAGGAAGGATTTTAAATCACGAATCAATTTCTCCTTCCATCCTCCCTCCCTCTTTCCTTCCTTCCCTCCTTCCACTCTTGTCCTTCAACAAGAGTCTCACTCTGTTGCCTTGGCTAGAGTGCCATGGCATTAGCCCAGCTCACAGCAACCTCAAACTCCTAGGCTTAAGCAATCCTTCTGTCTCAGCCTCCTGAGTAGCTGGGACTACAGGCATGCACCACCATGCCCAGCTAATTTTGTCTATATAATTTTAGTTGTCCAGGTCATTTCTTTCTCTCTCTCTCTCTCTTTTTTTTTTTTAGTAGAGACAGGGTCTCGCTCTTGCTGAGGCTGGTCTTGAACTCCTGACTTCGAGCCATTCTCCCGCTTTGGCCTCTGAGAGTGCTAGGATTACAGGTGTGAGCCACTGCACCTGGCCATGAATCAATTTCTTTAATACTTAACAAAATATGTATTAACCTTTTCTTGTGTCAATTTTGAAAAATCATATTTTTCTAGGATATTTATACATTTTATCCCAATGTCCAAAACTGTTGGCATAAATGTGTTCAAAATATGTTTTTATTATAGTCTATAGTATCTGTGTTGATAGCTCCTCTTTCATTTTGGTTATTTGTTCATTCTCTTTTATTCTTGATCAGTTACATTCAGAAAATAAGAAGAGATGATACATGCCCCAACTCCTGTTGTAAGGTTAATTCAACTCTGATACCAAAACTTGACAATAACAGTATGAGAAAAGAAAATTTAAGGCCAATTTCATTCACAATTATGGATGTAAAAAAACCCAAATAAAACATTAACAAGCCAAATCCATTAATATATAACAAGGATAACACATCATAAACAAGTTGGGTTTATTCCAGGAATGCAAGTTTAGTACGGCATTAGGAAAATCAATCAGTATAACTCACTGCCCTTGAGAAAATGGGAGAAAAATTTTTCGATTATCTCAACAGATGCAGAAAAAAAGTTTTTGACAAAAATTCAATACCCGTTTCTGCTAAAACAAACAAAAACTCTTAGGGAACTAGGAGCGGGAGGAAACTTCCTTAATATAAGATTGGTATCTACAAAATGCCAACAACAAACATGACAACCCAAGAAAGGGGTGACTGTGCAAAGCCCCACTAGAGGGTGGATCTGCCCATCACCACTGCTCCAATCAACATTACACTCAGCTTAAAAGACAGTAAAAAACAACAAAAATAAATACAGCATATAAAGTTTAGAAAGGAAGAAATAAAATCATCATTCACAGAAAATAAAAATAATCTATAGGTAAATTATTAGAATAAGAGTTTCTCAAGTTTGTCACATATAAAATCCAAGTGTTAGTTATATTTCTATGTATAAAATATAGTTAGAAATAGCTAGAAAATACAGTTAAAAGAAGTATTATTTAAACCCAAATAGCAAACTCCCCAGATGCTCATTAACAGTAGAATGAATGAATAAATCATGGTATAGCTACATCAGGGAAGATTATACAGCAATGCATGAGCCACAACTGCACACAGCAGCATGGATAAATCTCATAAACATAATTCTGAGTAAAAGAATCCAGACATTAAAGAGTATATGCCCTGTGGCTCACGCCTGTAATCCTAGCTCTTGGGAGGCCGAGGCGGGCGGATTGCTCAAGGTCAGGAGTTCAAAACCAGCCTGAGCAAGAGCGAGACCCCGTCTCTACTATAAATAGAAAGAAATTAATTGGCCAACTGATATATATATAAAAAATTAGCCGGGCATGGTGGCGCATGCCTGTAGTCCCAGCTACTCGGGAGGCTGAGGCAGAAGGATCACTCGAGCCCAGGAGTTTGAGGTTGCTGTGAGCTAGGCTGACGCCACGGCACTCACTCTAGCCTGGACAACAAAGCGAGACTCTGTCTCAAAAAAAAAAAAAAAAAAAAAGAGTATATGCCACACAATCCCACCTATAAAAAGTTCAAAACCAAGTGAACTCAGTAGTTACCCTTGGAGCAGTCCTGATTCTTGGTGCAGATGATGTTTTGCTTCTTCATTGGTGCTGGTCACATGGCTGGGTCTGACTTGTGAACATTCAGTAAGTGATATAATTGGTATACTTTTATGTATGTATATTTCAATAAAAAGCATTTTTAAAGAAAATAATTAACATAATGCCCTGGCTATAATATGAAGGATAAATAAAAGTAATTTATTGGAAAAATAAGGACAAAAAGACTATCTATGATTAGCATCAAAAAAATATCAAACACCTATGAATAAATCTAACCAAAGAGATAAAAGACCTCTTTGCATAAAATTATAACACATTATTGAGCGAAATTCAGCACTAAGAAATGAAGAGATATAGCATGTTCATGACTTAAATATTCAGATTATAAAGATATCCACTATTCAAATTGATTTAATGCAGCTCCAATCAAAATCCCAATATTTTTTTCTTTGACAGGCTGATTCTAAACTAATATGGAAATGCAAAAGGTCAAAAATAGGCAAGACACCACTGAAGACAGACAGCAAGGTGGGGTGACTATCTCTATTGCATACTAAGACTTATAAATCTACCCCATTGCAGACAATGACCAAGCACAAATAGACAATGGGAGAGAAATCACATACAAGTGTGTGTATTTGTTTGTATATATGCACATGGAATATGTATATGCCTGAAAAGGAAAGTGTGGATGCTTCTCACTTCACAGACTCCCCTCCCCAGGACTGGCTAAACAGAGTGACCCCTTAGGGTTCTACCCTCAAGCTCACAGGGAGGCCTGGCTACTCTGGGTCAGAACACCCATGTTCTCCTACAAGAGGGTACAGTGTGTCTGGTTAAAAACAAGGACTTCCATGTTGGAGCTGGGAAAATTCTTCTTCACTTTAAGCCGAACTTTTCTGGGAATGGGTGATAATAATTTTAAGATTTTTATCTAAATAAGATATGAAATTTTTTATATTAAATAATAAAAAATACAATAAAAAAGATGAAAAAATTTACATTTCTCAGTTTAAAAATGTTATTGTCTGAAACACCAGATTGAAATAAAGAAAACCTCTATGGAAATTTAAGTACACTTAAAAGTGACTGTTTTTCTAGTCCATGCTAATTGAACTGTTACTAGACAATCTAGACAATAGGTATGTGAAATATAGACATGGCACATTTTAATCCATGTGAAGACCTGGCCTTTTCATACCAAACAGCTAATGCTGTTTCTATTTCTTAAATTGGGTTTAATAATAAAGTGACCTTCATCTAAACTGGGATTTAATGCATGAGTATGTAACATGAAGATGAGTTACTACTTAAATGTGATGAAATCTTTAAAAATGGTGCCCTTTACACATGGATTCTTATTACAAAGAAATCCCAACAATACTGTAAAATTCTGTAGACATATAAACATTGTCTACTTAGTCTTTCTGAGTATAATTTAAAGATTTATATAATTTCTAAAAATTAATATCTCTAAGGATTTTGAATGTTAATTTTTTAAACATTACAGCTTCTGAGGAATTGAATGTTAATTTTACATTATATATTGTTAGAAATGTAGTTATTTTTTCTGTCATTCTTAAATGATTAAAGGATATTAACTGAGGTAATAAATACAGGCACACTTCAAAGACATTGCGGATTTGGTTCCAAACCACTGCAATAAAGTGAATAATATCACAATAAAGCGAGTCATGTAAATTTTCTGTTTTCCCACTACAGAGAAAAGTTATGTTTACACTATACTATAGGGCTGGTACAGAGAAAAG